TTGATGTTTTTACAGGTAGATCTACCAAAAGCAACTGTGATACACTTCTTATCGTTAGAGGTAAGCAATTAAGTATTGTTGTTAAAGCTCTAATTGAACAATAGATGATAAATTCTGTTCCTAATGAAGTGAAACAGTAGTTTTTCTCCTTCAGTGAGTTTAAATTAGGTTGTAAAACTTGAACGTTTTTATTTTTAACCCAAGGACCTTGACTGAGGCTAGAAAAATCTTTTTGTCAAATTCCCAAGTACTGCAAGACACCATTAAGAAGTCCTAATCCAAAGCTCTGTTTATTTCCCCAAGAATAGTTAATTAAGTCTTACCGCTCGTTTTCTGAAACCAATAAGCATTAATAGCAGTTTCAACAAAGGTGCTTCTGGGAGCTGTTAATGGAGGACCCAGAATACAGAGGCAATTTTTTTGAGTACAGTAGCTGAAACATCTTAGTGAAGCCAAGATCAAAAGAGGATGTGTAAGTATTATATTGACACCTTTCACGACTCAGAAGCTGCTCAGTGAAGTAAAAAAAAACCAACAAAGACAAAGCTTTCTTCTTTCCTCCAATAAGAGCAGTGGCTTTAAAGTCAGAAATTCTTACTAAAGAGATGGATAACCCCACGCTACCCCCCAAAGAAACAAACTCAAGAATGGCATCTGCCTGGATTTAGTACTTTCATATCTTTCATCTCCCGCTCTGAAGCAGAGCTTATCTGGTAGACAGAATATTTAGTTCGTCCAGTCTATCCAAATTATGAGGATAGTTTATCACCTTTTACTTAAAAAAAAAAAAATAGAAATGCAGATGATAAGCTTGCATCATTTACTTTTGACCACCCTTACACCACAGTTCTCATACTGTCAGCAGTACTGTGAAACCCTTTTCAGTGCTTACACCTTTTTATCACTGTGTTAAGAAACTGATCACTAAATTCTTAACACATTTTCATAAAAAGAAATTTTTTAAAAAATCAAGTTGCACGTTTATATGAATTTTGTTTGAAACTTGTTTAGTTAAGGAGCATTGAAATTACGGTGTTCAGAAGACTGAATCCTATTGGCAGAAGTGTTTCCTTCACGAGAGAATGTAAGACTCTATCACAGTTCCTTGTCATTTTTTTTTCTTAGTTTGATGGAGATAGACAAGCCTTTGATGCTACTGTGAGACAACTGATGTCACAATGCCCAAAACAAAGGTGTTCATACTTACAAGCAATCTGTGATGAAATTTACATTATCAAAATGGAGAAAAGGTAAATTTGTTAAGCTCTTACTAGTCCATAAAACATTTCAATTATTTTTGCATTCAGACTTTACTAAATAAGTGGCTCTTAATTTGTCCTCCCCTTTCCCTCTCACTGAAGAAAAAAGACATGTTCAGAAAACACATATAGATCCCTGAGTACTACGGGAAGAGTTTATTGGTCATCTGATCCTTAATTGTGGTAAAATGTAAATTCCTGGCCATGCAAATTCCTCATTTTTATAAGCCTTTTCAAGAAATTCTAAAACGTATTTCCCACTGTTACCTCACTTGCTACTTTATTCATAAAACTGAATAGCAAACAATCAGGTAGACTGCACACAGTAACAGCCCTCTTTTCTCATGGGAGAGATTCAGCTTGCCTTTTAAAACTTGTGAGCACATTTAATTTGTCCTCCTTTAAAGGAATATGACAGGAATCTGGCAGAGCTGACAGACTGCCCAGCTTTAAACAAACACAATGCTCTCGCAGTGTGTACAGCAAAGCCGGCTTTTTACTTTTTCTAGGCATAAAACCATTTATGTTCAACTTGTAATTGTGTTGGCAAGGCTGAAACAGACGGTCTGGGCATATCCAGTTTTAAACCTGAGATTTTCAACTGTTGCACGTAGTGGTACGATTAAGTAAGACCTGGGTATTAACGTCCTGTTGTGAGTTTCATTTATTATAGATTTTCTTAAACCTATGTTCAGCTTGAAAGCACTATGTAGCCTTTAAATGAGACTAAAAACTGACTTTGATTCCTTTTTCTTAGAGATGCACCAAAATTGCTTCAGGTTCGCTAATGTTTACTGAGGCAACTAAATATCAAGTGAAGCAATTTTTTAAATTTCTGTGGCTCACAAGGCTGCGAGCAACAGGACCCAGGTAGGGGTAATATTCCATACAATGCTGGGTGTGAATGTAGTGCAGTCCCCAATGAAGTTTTCCTTTCCCATATGATGCCAGCACACAGAACGCTGCTTATCCATAAGCCTTCAGATCACTGAACGAAAACTGAACAGGCTCAATAAATGGGAGGATAACGAAGGGGAAAATTGCAGTCACAGTCAAAGGAACTAAAATTTAACCACTTTTCTGCCAAGTCTTTGCTGTTAGCTCATCGCCACAGGTAACACTGTTGCTTTTGAAGCTGCAAAGTTTAAAAATTGTCTGTTTTGCTTCCCTTTGCAGGGTTCCTGCACTTATCCTGTACAGTTACCGAGATGAGTACAAGGTTTTGGTTTAGTGTTTAAAGCATCTTTTATGGGATGCTTTTACTAACGGACAGTGTTTCATCAAAAGGAATTTCAAAAAGCTGTAATAATGCAAGACAGGCAGCTCATGCCTTTTTATGTGTCCAGATTGAATTTCACATGTAATATAAAACTGTAAATTTATGTCAAAAAGTGGAAATAAATGTTTTATAGGCAATTAAGGAGCAAGTCTGACTACAGCCACAGATAGGTATTACCATGTAATCCTTGCCCTTTATGGCACAAAAGAGATTATAGTTGTGCAGGTATAAATTTATTCTTTTTTTTTTAGAATAGTTTCAGAATGCCTTTTATGTCAACATGCAGCAGTGGTACTGAAATGAGAAATTCAGTTCAAGGATTAGAGAGGATGAAATATCTAACAAACTGTTAGCTCTAACAAACTGTTTTATATTTTTTTGAAGAGAGGTTTTTATGTAATAAAAGGTTTGGCTACTGAGCCTTCTTGAAATATAGATTACAAGCTTTTTGTGTTTTGGATTCTTTTTAAACCTACTGTTGTAATTTCTATATAAAAGATGATAGATTTCAAGCTGAGAGTTGTTGCAAGCCTGACTGCCTGTACTGTTGCATTTAAATCAGTTCCCAGCATTCTGGGAGATGAAATAGACCTGCTACAGGAAAAACTTGTTTCAGACCTAAAGAACCTAAACCTACGACTTTGTCAAGGATTAGGGTTGGGCCAGCTCCTAGAGAAACGACAGGTGCTCTCTGTTAACGCTGCCCCACTGCCAAAGGAGCAGGGAAAAGGGACGAGTGCAGAGAGACTTACGGATTGGAAAAGAAAAATGAAACAGCTTTAATGAGACAATAATGGTATTGATAAGAAAATAATGCAATATATAACAATATATACAAAACTAGTATTGAACCCAACCCCCCCAGTGGCAGCCACCGCTGATGCTGCAGAGCCCACAGGCACTGGGGGAGCCCTAGACTTGAACACAGGAGCTGGATTCAGCAGCAGACCGTATGGAGGCAGAACAAACACTGGCCATTGCAGAGGGCTTAACTCCCGTGATCTCTCAGCTTTATACTGAACACAATATCTATATGGAATGAAATACTTCAGTTTGTAATGTTTTGGGTCCCTGTCCGGTCCGTTTTTCCGCGGAGGTGCGACTTCTTTTGTGTGACCCCATTTACTTCCTGGCACCCCCAGTGTAGCACACAAGATCCAGCAGTCACATTGGTCCCTACAGAAGTATCAGCAAGAGCCTTTCTGCACCCCAGTCCCTGGCAGCAGCTGTAAACACCAGGCCTTATCACTGCTAGAAGCAGACGCTGTCTGCACAAACATGCTGCTAACTTCAGAAAGGGCAGTTCCTAGAAGAGACTGAACTGAAAAGTAAAATCACTGAACAGAATTGGTTCTGTTCAGCTCAACCCAGGACAGACTTTTCAGAGAAACAGTAATCTGCATGTGGTAGAGGCATAACCAGAGTTTTGAACTAGCTTTCTTCACATGGCTTGCAAGATGACATTTGAAGTTACAGAAGCGATAGGAATTTTAGGATTATCTTGAAGCTAAACTGTAACACAACCCCATCGGGAAAAGTGAAGCTGAGCAAATCTGATGATGAGTTACAGCAGCCATAGTAAACTACGCATTTTATTTCACATCAGACTGACTTATTTGGAAATACACTGCTATTTACTCTCCCTCCCCACCTGGTGCCTTCTGTTTAAACAGCTTACTCCTGTTTCTTTCTCGAACTCCAGTGACTGACTGCCTTTAGCACTGCAGGTTCATTGCATTAAGAAATATCTTACTTCCTTTTTCTGCCCTTTTTTTTAGTAAAGAGGAAGGCAAAGTTAAAATCTGTGAAGAGGTACTCTAAAGACAAATACATGAACTTTTGAGAAATGTGGGAGTTGTAACAGCAACAAAGTAGCATCAGGGGAGTCAGTCCTGAAGGCAGGGATAACCGTGCCATTCATAGCAATTCACCAAAACACAAGTCACATCAGTCACTACAGCCAAATCCATTTCTCCTTGTGTTTAATAGGAACAATTAATTACATCTGCTCATATGAGGGAGCAACCTTAAGATGTGAAGAATGGGGAAATTCAGATTCCTGAACACACTGAAGAATGAAGCTTTTAAAAAAAAAAAAGTAGTTTAGGTCACATGAGCATTTTTAAGCCATGTCTGAAGGGAACATGATGCACACAGTTCTGCCCTCCCCCGGCCCTGAGCCAGGGTCAGCACAGCTGGATCAGCACAGCTGGATCAGCATGGAGCAAACACACAGCTGCCTGGCTCTGCAAGAGCTCAAGCTCTGTCCTGGCTGCCTTAGGGATGTCTGTGCTGCATCATGTAGACATGTCGTTCAAAAGAAGACAAACAGGAAAGCTGCTGTTCCTGATTTGTTGAAACCCACTTTCCCTGCTACTGCTGAGGCTTATCTATAGAACCGGGCATCTGTCACTAACTCCTGCTCCAGCGTTAGCTTTGCTCTCACTACAGTGCGCTTCTCTTCACCCTGTGTTACCCTCCAAACAGATTTTACACAGCCCACTCGTATAATACAAAACTAACAGCAGTATAAGTACAAAAACTAGTCGGCAGCTGAGTGTAAAGCTATTTCACTACAACCAGGTAAATACTCCTGCCATAGAACAATCCACAGAAAGCACCTCATGCGCTCAATTTAAACGAAAAGTACTGATCGCACCCCGGTGTCCTGCTGGAAGGAAAGCCAAAGACAAGTGGTAACTCAAAAAGAAATGGACTTTGCTTTGAGCAAGGGTCAAGTCTCTTATAGCGATAGCAGGATGCTGTTCCATCACTGTGTTGCTTTACTCTTCTTGTTTTTGCTTTTCTTGTCTTTTTTCTTCAAGCCATCCATGTTAGCCCTCAGCAAATTTGAGTATGCCTGAAACAACAATTGCAACCGTTAAAAGAATACTGAAGTGACAATACACTGGAGGCAACATTCTAGCTATTGCTAATGGATGGGTATCTGCATTTCCTCAGACAATCAAGCCCTTGCACCCTAGACTGGGAAACTACTGTTTCTAAACCAATGCAGAAAGTCAGATAAAATAGAACAGGAATTAAAAAAAGAAGTAGATCTACCACAGATGGGTAGTCTAGAGTTAATCTATATGGCACTTCAGCACTGAATCAACGCCTTCACAGCTGTTCAGTGCTTCCACCTGACCACTGCCCAATACCTAGAGAAAAGATAAAAAGCATATAAAAACTTACCATCTGGAATTTATTTACTTCCTTTGAGCTCACCTATAAAAGTAATAATGAAGGTTAACCAAGAAAACGGTGGCTTTTAATACAAACCAAGTGTCTGTACATGTTTACCCACCAGTAACCTTCCAGTCTTTTAGGAGCAGTTGGATCAACTCACCACACTGAATGGTCGGTCAGCTGTACTAACATGTCATGGGACTCCACTAATTTAAAAGCTTGAAAACACTCCTTACTCAATTAACAAAATCCTCTGGAGGCCATTCATCTCAAATCTCTGTGTTTCCAAATGGGAAGAATGTGAAGGGACATTCTAAGGAACATTTAATTCATTTGCAGGGCCATAAGAATATGTTGCAACTCCAATTCTCTCTACTATTTCTCAAAGTAAGATCTTTCCTTGGATTACATCACAGAGGAGAGCTAAAGTCTCTCACTCACAAGCATACATGTCAGGTTTTCAACTTCTCATTTAAATTTCTTGAAATACAAATATCTCTGTGAGGAAAAAAAAAAATATGCTAAGCGAGATTGACACTTAGAAGAGTCTACCCATGCCAACACATTCTTGCCAGGAAACAAGGATCCCTTTCCTGCTGTTTCACGTTCTTTCCTGGGCTGCAGGAACCTCCAGTAATTCCATGGAGGTCTACAGGGACCTACCTCTTTGTCACCTGAGGCTTGAGTGTAGGTGTGTAAGACTTTTCCCCTCCTTGGA